ATGTGCGTGATTTTATCTTATATTTAATATTTTTGAATATGATTTGAACAGGATATCGAAAATTGGTCATTGAATTGATTATACATATGTTTAAGAGCTAATAGTCAAAATTGTAATTAATTATGATTAGATTGACTAGTTATGAATAAAGTTTTTTGTTAAATTAGTCAAGACATTGATTCAACCAACAACTAATTGGATTGACCCAAATTCTAATATTATGAATTCGAGTGTTGTCAAACTTAATTAAGGACACTACATTTTTTATTCACATTATGCAAATTATCAACCTCATTCAAAAAAAATCGAGTGTTTTTCATTCAACCTAACACTATTAGTCATGGAAAAGAATATATAACTATATAAGTAAAAACATTTTAAATTATAGAATTATCCTTCTCTCAAATGAACATGCACACTTTAAAAATTTTCATTTTCATTCTATTCATTAATGTGAACATATAATAAAAATAAAACAATTTTATTTATTTATTTATTTATTTTGTAATGTCGTCACTCCTCAGTCCTCAGTTCTCATGCCATCACTCCATATAGAGTCCATACGACATGTGGTTCGTAATTGAAGGCAGGCAAGAAGTCAAACACATTTTTGAAGCTCACTGAATTCAAAATTCTGCTCACAGGCAAAGACGATGATGATGGTGACACATACAACAATGTTGACTTTAGAGGTCGGTAATTAACGTAATTAATTGTCTGCTTTTAGTTTCAAATTGGAAATGATTATGACAATACAATAAAATTAAAATTAAAGGAGCCCACGAGACAAGCAAACTGTTTTAGACTTCAGTTTTTCCTGGTCAACAAATGGTAAAGTTAATCCTTTGAAAAGTATAGCCACAATAGAATCACGACTATACAATACTGCATTTCTGCATAATATATGGTGACATGGAATGTTATGAGCTTTACATCGGAAACCTCATAAGCAAGATGAAATTTATAATTAGTTCAAGGAGGTTTATCATCTAGTAGATTAATTTTTTGGGATAAATTCTTCGGTCCTTTAAACTTGTGCTGAAGGCAGGGTGAAATGCTATGAAGTGAATAAGTTGCTGAGACATGGCTTATAACATAGAAATAAGTAAACATTTTATTAAGTGTTTGTTTAATTGGTTTTACTATGCTTGATTTTTCTCTCCTCAAAAAACTCTTCTTTAATTTCCTAGTACAAGTAGAATGTTGTATTTTGTTAACCTGGGTTTTTTAAATATTGAGTTTTCCTATAATCACTTTTTTTTTATAAGTGATATCCAATCATGTACTAAGTGGACTGTTTATTGTAGTAGTGGATTATCCAATTAAATTTGATGGTTTAGATTTGATAATTTTTAAAAGTAAATGTTAATGTTAATATGTATAATTATAATTTAATTTAATTTGATTAGTTTATAATTACAATAAACCTTCGTAAAATATGAAAAAAAAACCATATAGTTTTGTCGGGGGAGGTTTTATTTATCTTTTATGTAATTCAACTAATAATGATTATCGCTTTCTTAGTTCCGCTGATTATGGTGATACTAGATAACTTAGTCCTGTAATGATATGCACCTAATCATGTTCTTAATAGGGAAATATTATTGCGATTTGCCCAAAAAAAAAAAAAAGGAATTTGAATAAGGATAGAAGACACACACACACTTATATAGAACAACCCTTTGACATGTCCTAAAATAAATGACAAACAAGATTTAAAATGATATATTTAAAACGTGAGATTGCCTCTTATAATAATAATAATAATAATAATAATAATAATAATAATAATTCCAGTATTTTGAAATGTTCTTTTTATTGTTTAATAGGCGCAGGGTATGCCTTAATAAGGCCGGACTTCGGTATGTACAAATTTCTTCAAGTTTTTCCCCAAAAAAAATTACATTTTTTTTTAAAAAATAAGAATATTATACTTGATTTGAATTTTAAAAATATTTATGCCGACATCTCAATAAATGTTAATTTTTTCCTGGAACTATTGAGAGTTCAACATTCTAATTTACACAAATATTGATGTATATCGAGATTAACTTATACATTAAATAATGACAAAGTTGTAATATAAATTAATCACACTAATTTTTTAATCATTTGCATATGTAGATGCACTCAAGTAACTTATGTGTGGCTTAATTCTCTATACATAACGTTAAAACTTTGAAAAGTCACGCATTTCGAAAACATTTTCTGATTTATTTTTCGCGAAATAATATATACATGCTTAATATAGCATCCTTATTTCTAACTTAAAAATCTTAGAATATAATATCAGATCAAAATATGAATAAGGTCTTGATTATTGCAAAAAAGCCAAACTCCAATATGCTATATTATCCTTGTGGCCACTTAGTTTTATGAGAAATCAATCAATCAAAATATCAATATAATATATAAAATAAAATTATTCATTTCTGTATATTTATTTACTACTCACAGACACCATCATTCATAATTTTATACAGACAAATATTACTTTTTTTTGAAATACAGGATGCTATTTTCTAGAATTAGGGTCATTTTTTTGTTTAATTTGAATACTTTTGTGCAAAAATACACAGAAGTTCTTTCTGTTGATGTCCAAATCTCAAACACAACATTAATTTATGATCCATTGAACTTAGATTAACTACGCACAGATATTCAAATATTTAAATTATTACTTTAAGCCAGCTTGCACGCCCAAAAATGAGAATTGCATCAAATTTCAAATCAATCAAATATGCTTAGCTATTTGATTTTGACACCTATATATAAAAATTAAAAGTTATATCAATACACTATTTTCATCGCAAATTATGGTCCAATTTGAGCAACATTTTTTAAATTCAAATGGCTGGGACTTGGAAGTACTTTTATAGTGTTGGATTTTCGTGATTCATACTTCATGAACCAAATAGTTATACAATAATATATAAGATTATTTAAAAAAATTGGAATAATTAATGGGAGAAGTATATAAATTATAAATTATTATTACCTTCAGAACCATTCCAAATTTTCTTAAGATATTATTGGAATATTTATTTGAAGCATGCTATATTCCTAAGAATTTTATAAAAATCGAATCCATCGAAATTGATTAGTTAATAAGATGAAATCTGATTTAGATGAATTAGATCATTTCAGTTATAATTATTAGATGGTGAAATTAGGCATCTAACATTAACGAAATCGATTGAATTTAATCATGTATATGCTATGCATATATACTTTAGGTTTTTAGTAAGTATAAAAACCTAGTACATATCTATTTGTGAATTATTCGAGGCATCAAATTTTTACATAATAAAGTTTATTTTTAGTAAATATTTTATTTTTTTCATTTCGTCCAAAATATCTTGATTCATTAGTACTTTTTGATTTTTATTTTTTGGCCAGCCATTTGTAATTTTTTTGGGTATAAATATCAAAGGTATATGTGTATACGGTGCGTACACTGTACACTTTTTTCTTTTTAATAGAGCACTGGTGTAACAACTGAGGTTTTATTACATTTTTGTTGAACCTTAATACTCTTATTTTATTGATTCAGACTATAATGATTGTATAAAATGCCTTTCCATTCCATCGACATTATTCATTGATCAAATCATTATAAATCAGGAATATTCTTTTGTGTATTACATGTTTAACTCAATTTCATGTTTTAATAAGTTATTTAATTTAAAATTACATATTTTTTTCATATTTATCTTTATTTAAGAGGACATTTCAATTAAAAAATCTTATTAGTTGCACCAACTAATTAATAGTATTTTTTTTAAAAAAATACCTTATTAATTGCATCTTGAAGGACCCTAAATATCTTAGTATATATTTTTTAACATCATGCTTTAGAAAATCTCTTCTGATATTAAACAAAGAAAGTAAATACTTCTTTTGGCCTGAAATATCATAAATATAGTTATATACTTCCTTTGTTAAAAAATATAAAATATTTTTAACTGAATATTATATCTTAATAAATTAATTAATTATATTTTAATTAATATTATCTTTATATATTTACTCATATTTAATAGAATATTTTACTTAAAAATAAATATAAAGTGATTTATTTATTAAGAATATTTTTTAAATAAAATACATTAATTATATTTTAAAATATTAAAAATATTTTATATTTTTTAACATTTAATTTTTTAAAATATTTTTTAAAGAAGGGAGTATATATATGACTTGTGAATAGACTAAATCTAAACCGTTATAAATTTTCTATATTGATGGGTATGGGAAAAACTAATAATAATAATAGTAATAGTAATAATAATAATAATAATAAAAGAAGGAAATATATATGATCAATAATGGAAGTGAAGTTAGGTATGCATCCACAAATCCAACTAAAACTTTAGCTGCTATAAAAGAAGATCAAAACCAACACGCAAGCCCTCAAACTCATACACATGCATTGAATTTCGATTTCATCTCTCTCACCTGTACGGAACTTCATTCCGCCATTAATTCAAAACCATTTCCATTTTTGTACGCAAAAGGTCCAACACAGTGACACACACACACACAAATATTAATTAATTAACAAGACAACCTATTGTACACGTTAATATCACAACCCTACTTTCCCCCACCACCCAGCTGCGTCCCTATGAGGGTTAAAAAAAAAAAAACACACACACACACACACACAAACACACACACGCACGCGCTCTCTCTCTCTCTCTTGTATATATATCATCATATGTGTTACAGTAATGTATAGTAATTATATAACGTCTTGTCAAAGTTCAACATTATTTATGAATTATATATACCGGCTGTGAAATTAATGCATTTCGTACTTAATTTATTGAGAACCAACTGCTTCCCTTATCTATATGTTCATAGTCCAAGTAGTACACATGGCTCTGAAATTGAGAGTCTGGGGTTGGTATATCCATAGGCAAAAGATATACCACGTAATAATAGTATTTTGACTATTTGCTATACATACGCAATGCATGAGGAATGATACTATGATGTAAATCCAAAACCAGACTAAATATGTATAGAAAATAAATAGAATATCCAATATTCAGTGAGTAGAAGTAATACATGTAAATGTATGTTTCGGAATCGGATCGATTAACATTTTTCAGTAGTAAGCACGCTCGCTTCTCTCATCAAGGGGTTTGATTTTCACTACATCATACGTGAATTTTGAAATTCTGATAACCTTATATATACTAGCTGAAAAATAATCAGAATGATGATGAAAACTGGTTTCAGAATTTCAGAACGCAAATAGTGAAAAACAATCAATCTCTCCTAAGAAGCACGTACTAGAACTCTTCATAGAGAGAGTCAATAACGAGCTAGTGATCACAAGTCTCTGTCTAGAGCCATGAAAGCAATCGGTTTAGCTTATCTTTCTCATCAGTACAACGAGTTCATCTATCAGTGCTCAAATTTATCTCGATGATACTGAAATAGCTAGGGTTTTTGTTCATGGCTCTTGTTGTCTACCAGGGACGGATGATGAAGAAGGAGGTAACAGGTCCTGCAACAAGCCATAGTCATGTGGAACTTGGTGTTGCTGTTGCTGGTGATGATGATGATGAGTATTATTAGGGTTTTGGTGGAACATGGGATGGCTTTGGTGATGGTGATGATCATTATTATCACCTTGGCTATAGCTTGGAAGAAACTGAGCAAGGAGTTCCTGGGGAAACATGGTTGTCCTCCCCACCAGCGAAGAACCGAAAAGGGAAGGTGTTGCCACCGCCGATGATAACATCATGGCGGCGTTGGCGCTGCCACGAAGTGTCGCCGGACAGTGGTGGTTGTGCTGCCCTTCGTATGTTGTGACCACAATTGATGGATCCTGGAATGACCTCTCCACCCTCTTCTTCACATTGCACTTTTGACTTGTGCATCTGTAATAACTCCTGCAAAAATATAATATAAGAGCAATGCAATGTATTGGCATTAATTAATTAATTAATTACATGGATTTGATTTCCTTGAAAGTAATTCACGAGAAAGGAATTTAGTAGTTCTCAAGCAATTAAAATCCAAGAATCTTTACAGCAATTTGAAAGAAACACTGTATGCATCAGGTGCATTGAATATAATGAATGACATGCATAATCGTTGAGTGGAATCTACATGAACTATTTTGATAAGATCATAAGCAAAACAGTTTGATCACAAAGTAGTACTTGGAAATAATTAAAGTGTTAGCTAGTTATACTAGGACTGAATTATTGCATCAAATTTGAAACCCAGATAAATGAATCGTTTTGGGTTTGAAATTAGCTAGAAAGTGAATATATAAAGAATATGGGGGGAAATTGAAAATAATAATGATAATAATAATAATTAACCTTGGGTAAGGACTGTTCTTGACGGCTTTCTGTCCATATTTTCTCCACCTGTATCCATCTTCTAAGTGATCAACCTCACTTTTAGTCAAGAAGGCAAAGCGCGGCTCTCTTGGCTTTTTCTCTTTCTTATTCCCTTTTGCCTTGTTCCTGAGAATTCACACCAAATTCACAACAAAAATCTACACAAAGTTTCATACATGTCTATCACATACATGTGTGTGTATGTGTGTGTGTGTAATCAGTTCAAACTGATAAAGAAGAAGTTGTTAGGGTTCAATGCCTTTATCTCCTTGTTCTAACACTTTGAATCTACAGTTTCAAACCAGTATAGAGAAATCTAGCTTCATAAAAGTACTAAGATATACCGCCCCCAAGAAAAAAAAACTGAAAGAAACCCATTTCATAGAGGCACTGAAAATCATAAATCTGTAGTTGGAAAAAGCTAAAACTGATACAGGAATGAGTTGATCAATATACATATGTTGTTCATCGATCTGCAATGTTAATTATTGTAATTTCAACAGTTATTCAAAGAAAACCAGAATAATTCCCCCACAGCACACATAAGATGTACATTTAATGAACATTCCAGAGATCCTACGTACTCATCAATTAAAGACGAAGAAACCAAGAAAGATCGATCAGAAAAGTAGTTCAGGCACAAACATTTGACCAAATAGAAGATTAACGAAGAAGAAGAACCTACTCTTTCTTAGACATTTGGTCGCCATCTTGGCCTTTGTCTTGCTTAAAGCTTTTGGCTGAGTCTTCTTCTGTGACCACTGCTTCTTCTGCCTCTTCATTATTGGAAGATGAATTGGACACAGAGGAATTATTGGGACCCACTTGAGAGTCTCCCGCATCAGTGGCCATAGGACTAGTGGCTGCAGATGATGGCTTCTTTGGATTGAGCTGATCATCGTTAATGGAGGACGAGATCACTTCAGATGCAGATGAGCAAGACAAGTCGAAGGCTCTAGAGAGGGCATTATAGTCCATGAACCCACCATTCAAGCAATCAGTGAAGCTCGTGCCGTGTGAAGATGGATGATGATGATCAAACCCTTGAACAAGGTTCTGATGGTGGTTGTAGTACAGATTATTAAGATCATACTGATCATAATAATTATCCTTCTCACTCGCCATCGAAGATGAAGAGGAAGAAGGAGCAGAAAAATATAAGGAGTTTTTGAGAGAGAAATTTCAGCGAAGACTTTGTTTGCTTCTTATGGGAAAGGAAGCTTTTGGTGTGTATAGACTGTATACTTTGTTTGCCTTTTCTTTCCACTTTCACACTCTCTTTGAGGTTTTTTAAGGTAAAATTAATAGAGTTTTAAGAAAAAATTAATTATTTAATTTTGTAATTTTGATTTGACCGTAATTTAATCTCTAAATTTTAACTATACACAATTCAATTACTGTAGTTTGATTAAGTGACTCAATTGTAATTCAATATCAAAATTTTAATTTCATACAACTCAATTTTTATAATTTTAATTATTTAAATGATTAGTTCATAAATTTCAAAAAGTAATTTTAATTCTTATAATTTTATTTCCTAAACCATCATTTTAGATGATAGTATAGCACAGTTCTTATAATTTTAATTTAGTTTTTAAATTTTAAAAATAATTTTAATTTTTATAATTTTATTTTCTAAACCAAGGTTTCAAATGATTAAACCATAGAACTCAATTCTTATAATTATAGAAACTAAATTATACTAAATTAGAAATTATGAATTGAGTTTAAAAAACTATAAAGATTAAGTTACATCAATTAAACATTTAGTGATTGATTGATTGAATTACACTTAATCAAAATTAGAGAGATCAAATGAGTAATTTTTTCTTTTTTCTAATACCACTATTTTTTTAAATGTTTATATTGATTATAAATTATGTTTTAAGAGGGACAAGAATGGAATATTTTGTGGTGTTGCTGCTTAGCTTGAAGCGTGGTTTGGTTCATGATCTATTTGCGACGCTGTTGGTTGAAGAATTATTTGTCAATTGGTTGGAAGACTTATTGCATATTTAGTTGATATTGATAGCGACGTCTAATCAAAGTGACAAAAGAAAAATACGTGCCTACGTGCCTACGCGCACGGTAAGTTATTTTTGTTATTTATTTTAATTTTAAAATTAAATTTAATATAATCATTTTGAGTCCATGGACGTAATGATTAATGAATAGGTTAAATGTGTAACTCACTTGTTGTCCTGCTTCCATCCCATTTTATAAAAAAATTTTAAATAAAATTTTATATATTAATAAATCTTATTAAATATATTTATTTTTAAAAATAAAAATATAAATTTTAAAAATATCTTTCATTTAATATATTAAAAAGAAAGAAAGAAAAAAATTAAAAAAGAAGTAAGGATAATATTAAAATTAATATATTTAATTAAATCTTAATTTTTTTAAAGTATTATATATTTTAAAATACTGAATCTTTTTTAAAAATATTTTATAATTTGAAATTGAGGGAGCATTTGATTCATGCACATTCTATAGATTTTACATTTGACAATAAATTTCATAAATTTTTTTAATTTTTGTAGATAATTAACATTTGAGTATTTGTCCGATTTTGTTTACTAATTAATTATGACCACTTCGTTGTTTGTGCGGTAATATTTGGACAAACTATTTTTAAATTTCAGAAGAGGCGCCTTCAATAATCTGAAATTTTTATGGAGGTACTAAAAGATATTTTTTTAGTATCAATTTGTTGAAGAAAATTAAAAATAAATGTAGCTTTTGCAACACAAACACAATTTGTATTAACAAATTAACACATTATAGCGTATGCCAAAACACTGGGCCCTTCACATGGAGGTCTGGTCTGGTCACGACCTCAGAGGCTCAGACTCAGCTAATTTTTCTTAATTTCTTTTATATTTAAAAAACATATGAAAAAGAACTATTAAATAACATTTATGATTTTTCTCAGGTTTCTCTTCATATACGGTTTTAAATTTGAACTCCAATGCATATAATTATTTGTATATTAAATGTTCAATTGGTTAAGTGTAAAATCATCAAATATTTATTGTGCTAGAAAGTGATTGTAAAGTTATGAAAAATTATCTATGTCCTACTTTTTAATTAACATTAAAGAACCTGATTAATTAAATAATTTTTTTGGCTTTACATAATTTTTCTGACAACTTTTTTCCCCTAATAATAGACGGCAACTATTATTGAAGAATCTTATGAATCACTTTTATCACAAGTGATGAATGTGAGGCTCTGATGGGCAGATACATTATTGACCAAATTCAGATATCTTAAAATTATTTTCGATATTTTTGACTTCCAACCAGAGTGAGTGGTTCTAATTTATTTTAGTTAAATTTTAGCAACTAGATTATAAGTCGTTTTACAACATTGAATAATATTGTTTAAAGTTGTAAACCATGTGAGTTCTTATAGAATATATATTAACAAATATATATATATATATATAAAGAAATTTTTATACTATACTTCAACTGTAATTTTTAAAAAATTAATTTTAATTTTGAAATGTATATAAATTTCTCAACTTACCAGTAATTTTAATTTCTATTGAAATAAATTTTATATTACTAACGAAACATTATAATGACCTTTTCCACATATTTTTTGAAGGATACTTTGAGAAAAAAATTAAAATAAAATAAGATTATATATTAAAATAAAACGACGTATATATATTTGAATCAAATTTAATAAATACCTGCGCGCGCGCACAAAAAATTGTATATATATTCATTTTATTATCAAAATTTTTAATCAAAATATAAAAGGTATGTTTACTTTTAAAAAAGACACGTATATAATCATTCAATAATAAAAAAAATGTATACGTGCATATACAATATTTTTTTTTACCAGCGTGTCTATACAATTTGGTAGTATTGTATATCAAATCATCAAATACTGCACAAAAAATGAGTGTAAGTATATGTATATGTAATTTCTGGCCAAAAAATATGTATTTATAATTTATAACAGTTACATATATGAAATGTATGGTTAAATTATATTTCTAATCATTTAACCTAATTTTATAAAATATATTTTTAATATTGTCAGTTAAAAGTGATTACTTTTTAGGTCAATTATTATGATTTTAAAAAAATAAAATAAATATGTCAATATTTAAAAATGTTTTGTTATATTTAAATATTTGATGTAGAATTTTTTTATCGATAAAATTAATGATATTATAATTAAATAAATAAAATAATAAATGATTAAAATAAAATATGTACAAAGTTAAAAGATTTAAAGGTGAACTTTAACTGAAAAGTAATATTTTTAAAAATTATATATAGTATTACTATATTTCCAGTTACATCAAGATATTTCAAACATTTACCAAATAAAATTAGTGCTAGTAGTATAAGATCTCGTTACTTAAGTAAATAATTGAAGATTCATTTATGTATGTCCCCAATTTAATTGGAAGAGGCTATCATTGATTCTTATTATCTCATGAAAAAAAATCTTTACTATCCTCTAGAAGCAAACTCTGTAGGAGGACCAAAATGCAAAATTACATAATAATATAAGGAATTGGTTAAAATTTTTTTGTAACATTGGACAAGCACCTTATATTTAAAAAAAATGTTTTAAGCATTTAACTGGTATGATTGTAATTTTAAATATATAGATATACGGTGAATAATTATTACTTCCTCCGTTAAAAAATGACATTTTTTAAAGAGTTGGATATTAAAAAATATAAAATTTTTTTAATATTTTGAGGTGTAATCATTGTCTTTTGTTTTAAAATGTTTAATAGGGATAAAGATAAAAATATATGATTAGTTTAAAAGTAAATAACTACTTTATTGAGAGATAAAATTTATTTAAAAATATCTTATATTTTTAAAAAGAGAGAGTAATAATTATAATGAGAGTATTTTTATTTTTTATTTTTTAAAAAAGAGGAAATAAAAAGGGGGAAAGGTGTCGGGGAGGGAGGGGCAAAGAGTCAAGAATTTCAACTGGGGGGTGGATTCGGCGAGGCACGTGCGAGGGGGGCACCGTCGTTTGACCGCCGTTACGCACGTGCGAGGGGGGGTGGTCCTGTGCTTGACCACGCCTATGCAATGTAAGTCCTTGTTTGGTAGTGTGGAATGTGATGCATGACATGAGGGAGAGATTTGACGTCGGGGGTTCCGGAGTTAGTGCCACCCGTCTTGCCTGTCCTTCTCGTTACCAAACAAAACAGTGGTTGGTCCAAATATCAACACGTACCCCACCCCCCACTTCTCTTTCTCCGCCTTCCTCTTCTTCCGCGCCTGTCATTGCTCGTTACCCTCTCTCACCTTTTCAAAATGACACTTTCGCCCTCTTTGCTGTGGTGGAATCATTTTTCTTCAATGGAATGGAATGAAGTGTTTTAGGGTCCGGACAAAAGCTGTTTTGAATGAAGATTGCACCGTTTTTAATGGGCCGGATTTAAAACCCGAAATTAATCTGGATCCCTGAAGTGGTTGAACATTTTTGGATTGTTCTAATTACTATCGTTTGTTTTGCATCAAACTAGTTTTTGCCTTTTATTCATAATAAGAATGTTTGTGGGAGAATCACATTTAGGTTCACAAAAGCAAGAAATTTGCAAATGAGGTTCAATGAAATCTGAAATTATTTTCAGAGCCTAAATACCTTATTTACAATTATAATTTCTAATAAAATAACCTATTTGTTCATTTCATAATCAGCTATTATGATACGACTCTTTTTTTCTTTTCCAAATGTCTTATTTTATGTTTCCTTTGCAAGCAATTAAATTGATCATTTTTCTTTGTTTTTCTTCAGGAAAAAAAGGTTGTTGACTTCTCTATAACTTTTTCCCCTCTTAAAGAATGATGAATCTACAATTTGTGTAGTGCACATGGTGGAAGTTAAACTCTTTGAATTTGAAATTGCCCACAATTTGTGTACTGCACATGGTGGAAGTTTTGAATTTGAAATTGCCGATAAGTTAAAATCTATAATTTATGTTTGTGTTTGTGTCTGTGTTATATGTTCACATTTAAATTGGGAAATTTATGACTTGTCCATTGTCATGAAAATGCCCAATCAAACACATTAGATTATGTGGTGTGAAAACATGAATATTGTCTTGTTTATATTAAATGTTCAGTTGTGAAAAATAAAAGTTGAGTTCTTTTTATGTGGACATTTTCTTATATTAATTTGATTGTTGCAAGTTTCATACAAAAGATAGATTATTTTGATAATTGTCTCCTTGGGTTTGAACTTTGCCAACGCGAACTTGTCAATTTCAAACTTTTGCTTGTGAATATATAAACTTTTACTCATAAATATCTAAACCTGGACTTGTTAATATGTGAACATTGTATTGTTAATATGTGAAATTGCAATTAGCAAAATGTGAGTAATTATTTATATATGTGATTTAATAGGTGTTTACATTGATTGCATTGCCAACTTATGTAGTTGTATATAATGGTTAATGACAAGATGAGAAAAGAGGAGAGGGAGCCATATAGGAGCTGTCGAACGAAAACAAAAGTGATAGAATGACCTAACTAATAGAAGTATCATAATGTAAATGCAATTAGGATTATTTTAACATTGTATCTGTGCTGTTTTAAGTTTCTTTTTTTTTTTTTTTCTATAGAATTGCTTTTTTGTATATGGATGTAGGGCAAATATTGTGGTGTATATTAGGAGAATACTTGTTATGATCTTATGGTTAAATCATTTTTAATGAAGTGTACAAGTTATTTAGGTTGAATTTATAATAAAATATCCAAAAAATAATATGGCAATATCCATATATTAACAACGCAATGTCTGTACTTTATATATTGTTTGTATGGTTTAGTAACTTAAAAATGAATAAGTTATTGAGGTGAAATTTACAATAGAACATCTATAAATAATTTCAAAAAGTTCATATATTAATAAGCACACAAATGGTTAGAAATAAAATCATGCATTAATAATAAGGATAGTGACTAGATGGAATGAGATGAATTCTAATGAGAATTCTTGACCGAGTCTATATCATGTGATTTATTTTGGCCATGAATCCACACACAACATGGGTTGGAGTGCATCTTAGTTATTGAACCCATGTTGTACCTCAGACTCTGAACTCTCCAAAACCGAAGATTCAAAGCGTAGGAATGTTTCACCTCAATAGGACGTGGCTTGATCAAATTGTTGGACTACCATGCTTGACCACACCACAGCCAATATTCCTGAACTAATCCTTCCTTGATTCGGTGTCAAACCCACGAATTCCCTCGTCCATGTGTCCGCAATACAAGTCCTTTTCCCATCTGTCCCTCTCAACATACTTTCCACTGCCGCGGAGGAAGGAAGATTGAGGAAGAAGAATATCGGGCAGTAACTGATTATGCAAGGGATAGCTTGGTCACTTCAGCATTACATATAAGGTCCTTGGGCTTGCAGAAAAATATCAGAATCTATTGGGCCTTCTTTACAAATATTTTCATTTTGTGGGCCCAAATGTGATTCTCTCAATTTTTATTTAGTTTAGAAAGATTGAGGTCAAATTCTTTCAATGTTGTTATAGTAAAATTTTGAGTGCTTGATTTGTTGATTAACATTATATCAATTAAAATTGTAGTGAAAAAAATTTAAAACTCATTTGTTTTAAAAGGACAAATAAGGCAAAAAAAAAATGCATATGTAAAAAGCCAGAAAATTAAAATTTAAACTAACAACTTTAAACTAGAAATGACACTATTGATATTTTTAATGTTTTATTTCTTTTATACACACATATTCATTATATTAATATTATTTTTTAATTTAATTATTATATCACCAATTCAACTATTGATCTATACGATTGAACCTTTAGAACCTTGACTCATTAGTCTTTCTTGATTGTCATTTGGTTTAGTTTTTAAATCATTAATAAAATGTGAGTGGGAATAAAAATCAGATATATTATTACTTGAAATTTTTACCGCCACCTTTTAATAAATTGTGATTTTAAATGTAAGAATTTCAATTTGCTTGAAATTTTTTGGGTGCATAATTTGCTTGAATTTTTTTTAAATAGAAAAATGGGTTGACTTGTTTGACTCACCAACTTATCCCTGAGAAAATTCACACTCATTACACACAATCCATTTGATTGAAAACCATCATTTTACATGTTATCATATATAAACAAGATTGTATGACAATATTCATATTAGCGTTTGGTAATAAAGAAAACATCCAAGTAACATTATAATAAACTATTTCACACAGCTCACGGGAATCTAGTGATCGACCCAATCATTGATTTTAAGTGTAACAAAATATAATTAAGATACTTAACCTCACGGATTCAAGACTCAGTATAGGGAAAATGACATTTGAAGGACCAAAAGAAGGTGAAACCACTAATCATAGCAGTTAGCAAGCAAGAAGGAACTCCCAGATTTGGATTGGATTTTGTAATGATATAGTAAATTGAGTTTTACAGTTGCAGATTTCACCCTAACTTACGAATCATGCATCCATGAATTTGGCAACGAAGAACTGAATATTTGAAGAAGCATTATTCTCTCTCTCTTTCCAAGCTTTTTTACACCATAGCCTCGAAAGACACCTAGTTTAAGTGCTTCTCGTCCTTCTTCCACAGCCCTTTTCCTTATGCCTGTCAATGAAGCAGCTCCTTCAGGAGTTTTCATGGCCTCTTTTCCGGCTCCAGGCATCTCTGTGTCAGCTTCTTCCTTTGCACTCTCTTCGAGTTTACCCTTCTCATGTTTGCAGACGTCAACTCCGTCTGCTTTCTTGCTGGGAGAATCAGCAGGACCATTGCTTCCCCACCATTTATTTGAAGTAGTCGAGAGGCCTTCCGATGGAAAACCGTACTTGAATTCATCTAGCGTAGCCATTCCTTTGGCCAAGTTTGAGTTGAGCAAGTGCTGCGATGGCCTGGTTTCAGTGTTCTTGCTTCCTTGTTGGTGATGGGGATTGTGAAACACCGTTACACCTTGTGCCTTTGACCTCGCATCACTTGGATGTTGTAAAACACTGCAATTATTCATTGCCCAAAAAAAAAAAAAACAAATCACCCAGTGCAATTAAAGAATAGCCACCATTGAAATTCGAACGTTTGTACTTTGATTAGGATGGATGTTCGACTGAGATTTGGATAAAGATGGAAAGATAAAACCATAACATATATGTAGCTCATATGTAACGAAAAAGTGATATTCACTAAAGAAGTTCTTTAAATCAAATCGTCTATAGGCATGCAATTATAAATGTGTGTGTGTGTGAAAATGTCACCATACATAGGTTCCATTCCATGTTTGTACTTCACGCCCATCAAATACTTCTCTCTACCTCTCTTTTTTTAATATGGCTATCTAAATGGGCTATATTCGAGCATTATCACACCTAATTGGAGATAGTTCTCCTAAAGAAGTTTTCTGTATTCAGAAGGATTCAAACCGGGAACCTTGAGTTTAAGTGGCTATAATTATTTCCGCTAGGATCAATGTTTGCTGGTCCATGTCTCTAAAGGCACTATACACAGCTATTTTTATGAGGGTTCGGATTTAAATGATCCCAATCGCTTGCTGAAGGCCATTTACTACCAAGGTTCTAGTTTGTTAGTGAGCCAAGTTCCCTGGTAACTTCTAATGCATATTTGGTGTCTTTTAACAACGTCTATATTATTAGCAATACTTTTTGGGACTTTCAAGAGGCATCTAATAACTGATTGATATAAGATATTACAACAAAAGACATCTGACATTTAAGGGAATTTAAACTAGATAACTGCTCTGTGTATGCATGAAGATAACCCAGTGCAACCCCAAGAAACAAATCAACACTTGACGCCATCTTACATTATTCAATCTAAATTGGAACTGGTTCATATATCAGACAAGAAACAATCAATTTGAGAACATGCATGATATAAAGAACAACGGTGTATATTATGACCATATGCTATACTTTCTATAAGGAACTTCTATCATGGCTGAACTATCAAGTAAAAACCATATAATATAGTTGGCTTCAATTTTCTCCATGCTTACAAGCAAAAGATGTACTTTTTTCCTGAGCCATTGAGATCTTTTTAAAATATCTAACTTCCGGGCATTTTAATATAGTTATATACTATATGATGCCAATTTCAGCATGCGAAAAGTAGCATGTTCTAGAGTCTAGACACTAACCAAGATCAAGGAAACATAAAATAAGGAAAATTAGGAAAGTATGAACTTTAACATGTCAAGTGCATGACAAAACCAAATACACAAACACCTAAGATGAGATACTGACAAAATATTCGCAACTAACTAAAATTAATCATGCAACATGCAAAAGAAGAACAATTATATGCATCTACTAGAAGTCAGATCTAAAGGCAATGAATAACATAGATTTATGAAAGCTAATTAATTGAGGCTTATTATTATTTTCCATCAAGATTTTCTTGTCATGCGATACATTATTGACTGTCATATCTTTCAAGGGCTCATATTATGTGGTAACGGACTCATATGTTTATGGTAATTGTAAGTAACTAGGTATTTGTGTACAAGAAGGTGCACAAACAAAAGGGTTAGACATTGGTAAAAAATAAATAAATAAAGTGCCAGTAAGCAACTTTAAATTGCAAGGTATGGCTGCAAGCAGTTGCCACACATTCTACCACCACATCAGACCAAAACTGAGCTCGTCTCACCTCAACAAGTGCTGTTGCAATTTGAAACCATGATTTCAACCAATATACTGCTCCCATATAGAAAGGAGCCTTTTTCTTTTTAGTTGGAATAAAATAATACTTTATAAAAACAGGAAGAAAAGAACAGAGTAGGAAGATCATATAAATCTTCTTATAAGAGAGAAAAGCCAGCTAAAAGAAAAAATGGAATGAGAAAAGTCAAAGACAAGAGAAGGACATCAAGATAGCCCATTAGAAGCTGGTTAATGAATACATTCCTGGTATCAATAGAATTACGAATATCTAAAGAATGCATAGATGTCAGGATGTTGAAGCTTACCTTTTGTTGTTGCCACTTATCAATACCATTGTCACAGTTCTTAATGCAAACAGTTCAAGTCACACCTGGAACACTAAAAGTTAGAATAAAATAAGATTTTTTTGATAATCAAACAATAATTTTTTATTATTAAAAGATACAGCATGTTTAATATTTCAAAGGTTGTTGGTGCAATATAAAATTTGTTTAAATTCCCATGCATGACAACAACATTGTGAATACATCCTCAGGAAAGCTTCTGCGATGAACAAAATTGAGAACCTTATCTGTAATAAGTAAAGAGCAAAGATATTGTCGTCACAAACAGCGATAAGAATACAACATACGAAGTGGCTTATTCATGGTTCTTCTTTCGCAAATTGTTGAGGAGAAAGTAATACCAAACTCAAACAACTCTCTATCCCTCATCCTCTCTTCCCCTGCCAGATCAACTGCGGGTCTCCCTATTACCAGATAGGAATTATCCAAACCGTTCTAGTGTAAAAAAAGAGATTCAATTATCATTTCAATAACTTGCCTATTTCTAACAAAGATATTGAACCAAAGTAGAAAAACTTGTTCCAGAAATCATGATTAGGAAATACAAATACAATAGTTTAAGAAAATAAAAAAAAATGTAAAACACACTAGCACACTATCTACAACAAAAAACCCAGCTGCCATTAAACCGCAGAAGAAGCCCAAAAAAAAAAAACTCCAATATTGCTGCTTATTATTTAGACTTACTACTGAATTATTGATTCCTTATCATCTCACTAAAAATTCTTTTATTTCAAGGTCGTTGCTCGTTGACAAGAAAAGGAAAGTGGAAAGTGAAAGAGAATGTAGTTCGACGACAGAGTCTGAGAAGATAATATAAGAATCAAGGGTTGGACCAGTTTTATACAATAATTTTAGCAATTTGATAATTTTGAAGAAAGGAAAAATAAGCAGCACAAACAAGGGGGGAAGAACTTGCCAACCATCAAAAGAAGAAAACTTGCTTCCCAGCAGACAAAAATTTGATTGCAAAGCCCTTTATGGACTTCATTGCAATCGTAAAATCTTAAGGGCACACCACTTTAGCCATAAATACAGAAATTCAAAACCCAAATACGAGGGCTTTAGAAGATTAATAGCAGAAAATAGAAAGAAGCCGAGTCGCGTGGATTACCTCAGGGATTTCGCTTTGAATTGGGATTTGGAACAGTGCTTAGTCGCACGGGACTACGGCCGCTCAAGGGTGAAAACTGAAAACTCATTCAAAAAATGGAAATCAAAATAGGAAAAAGGGGAAAAAAAATAATTGAGGAAAATTGAAGGGAAATATTTTTTTCTTAAAAAAAATTTCCACCTTTTTTTTTTTGCGGAATGAGAAAGGCCAAGAATCCATGCCAATGACGACAATTTAAATCAGCCAGAATTTACAAAGCTTTTGTTCTTTAAAGGTGGCTATTTTAAAATATTAATATTTAGGTTATCATTTAAAGTTTGACGTACGAGCCGGTTGATGCAATATTTGATTTATTTAAAAGTATGACCAAATATGATTGTCTAATATCCCACAATAAACTCTTTTTTTTTTTTTTTGTGTGTGGTGGTTTTAGAAAGAGGATGCACTGAAATCATGGTGAATGAGGGTGAGAGTTTAAGAGAATCAGATGTTGATTTTAGTAAACTTATTATTTCAACAAAGATAGAGTCTTTTGAAAATATTTAAAATTTGGCAATAGTATTGAGATAATAATTAAGGTATTTAGTAGAGCTATATCTAGACAAGGTCAAATGAGCATTATCTTTACTTGGTGTTTGATCCAATGTACAATTTGGGCAGCCCGATGCTCAACTATTTAGGTTGGTTTTTCTCAATTGATTTAAAAATATTTTTACAAATATTTTTAAAAAATGTATACAAAACATTTCTTTAAAAATATATATTATAATAATCATTTAAAATGTATACCTAGGGAAGGTCAAATGAGCATTATCCTTACTTGGTGCTTGACCCAATCATTTAAAAATATATTTATAATGAAACTAATATTAGAACTAAAAGTAATTTTTTTAAAGTTCAAATGAATGACAATGGTCAATTATTTTTTATATAATAATATGTTAAAACGAATTTTAAATTTTGGATGAAATTCTAAAAATTATAATAACAAAAAATATCTAAGCGATCATAAAAATAATGTAATTTATGATAATTTTTAATGCAAAATAATATCATAAGATAAATGTTATTTACAAAAAAAAATTAGTATATATTCAAGTAGGGTCAAGTTTGACCTTTCTTGGTGCTCAACCTGATATTTTTGAATATCTTGAGTGAGACTGAGCTAACTAAGCAATTAAGCATAGTATGCAGCCTTGATACTTAAAAAATCTTTTTATCCAATTCTCTCTTTCATCACGGATGGGACTATTATTAATAATTAGTCATTAATGTTAAGTTTAACCCAATCAAGTTTAAAAGGTGTCATCTAACTATAAATCTTTTATGATCAACATTTTAAGGTTTTAAATGAATATCTGCAACTGTAAATTGTCCAAACAAAAACAGCTGAATATCTATAATGTTCTATTAACTATTCTTTATAAATTTCTTACACATACGAGAACCAATTAATGGTAAGTCATATTTATCATGAAATACTGGCAAGCCTAATTAAGAATAATTTTTTCAAAAGTATTTTTTTTATTCACACAAATTTAAACTTAGTCACAATCTCTTTTACCGAGACTAACATATATTAATATTCTAAAATTTAATTTTTATTAAAAAAAATTATACATTTAGCTTTGTATATTTAAAGAACTTGTTTGCGGTCAAACTAATGCAAGTTGATATTTTATATATTATTTATTGTATAAAAAAATTTTGTTATTAATATTATTAACACTTTAAAATATACTTGTTTTGACTTAATTAGATAGAAATATATTAAGTATATGAGGTTAAATATTTAAGTCATTTTATAAGATGATGCAAAAATAGATGAAAAATACTCCCTTTGTCAAAAAATGTAAAACATTTTTAAATAAATAGTTGATTGTATTTAAAAAATATCATCTTTTTATATTTACCTATGTTTAATAGGGTGTTTACCTTAAAATAAATATAAAGTGATTTATTTATTATAGACACTTTTAAAAAAACACATTGCACATTAATTATACATTGAAATATTAAAAAATTCTTATATCTTTAAATGTTCTTACATTTTTAAACGAAAGGAGCACTTTATATTTTTTAACAGAGAGAATATAGAAAAGCAGTCATATATTATTTGTAAAGGACTTGTAATTTTCTATTTTGCTGTTTTGCCCTTTGAAACAACAAAACTTTTAATGATCTTATTATTTTAAGAGTTACCACATACCTACAGCTGTTTCTTGGCATAAAAAATTCTCTTTGTATCCTAGCAAAAATGTGTTTGAATGATTAAAATGTTTCAACAAGAAGACTAAATAATTTTAAGAGTTACCACATACCTACAACTGTTTCAACAATAATTAAAATGTGTTTGAATAATTAAAATGTTTCAACAAGAAGACTAAAATAATTTTTAACGTTTGAAACTGCATGATAATACATGTTTTATTTTATTATATACGTATTTAAGAATCAAAGATGAGTGAGAAAAGGCAAAAGTACCACAATGTAGAGTATGCCAAAAAAAAAAAAAAGAAAGAACCAATGGAATGGCTGAAAATTATATTGATACATGGAGGGGAGGGGGTCTCTCCTTTCCCTTACCCCCTCTTTCCTCCACTTCCCCTGCCTTAACTATTCATTAATTATATAATTTTAAAAGGAGAGGCACCTTTCCTCAAAAAGGAATGGTACTTGTGATGGAAAAATTGACAGAAAATATTAGAAATATGTTAGCTTATACTTGGAATATTGTTGTGGCAATGTTTATCAAGAGGTTAATGAATGTGTTAATCAGTTGGCAAATCATACTCATAACATCAATTATTTGGCATATGCTGATCCATTTTTAGATTGCAGGGTGTGGATTGACTCCAATAGACATGGCCAGAGCCTTCTGTTCCAAGAAAAAAAAAATGATGGAATAGTAATTCTTTCCCACTCTTGAAAGAACCCATTTGCTTGCTGTAGATCTTTCCATCAGTCAATCTAGGGAAAGTTGGTGGATTCGATGGTAAAGATGCTACAAAGACTAAATTGCCCTCGGTCTTTTCACATTTTCTTCCCAGAGATACAAGTCTCTCTCTCTCTCTCTCTCTCTCTCTCTCTACACGCATATTTCCATTCCTCTCCTAATTTTATTATATTAGACATTACTTGAATTCCCTTTTGGCTTATAAAAACTCCAAATATATATATATATAGAATTCCCTTTTGGCTTATAAAAACTCCAAATATATATATATATATATATATATTACATATTTCTAGCTGACTATCTCATTTTCTCTTTCATTCCATTTTTTAGAGAATCTTCCATCTTACCAAACAAAACTTTCTATAGAGCATTTTACAAGATTCACCTTGATACACACACTACAGAATAGAATAGTAGCTCAAGACTAACACAAAGTTAACAATCTCATGCTGACTTATCAGAGTCCTTCTCCTTCTTGCCGGCAAGAATCATTGAAATCTGCAGCCCTCTACTGAATGCTTGGTTAAACAACAACCTTGTTTGGAACTCTGATACAAATGGGAACCAAGACAGTACAGCAACAGGCATGAAGATTATGAATCCCATTACGTATTCATATGCTCTGGACAGCTCCTTCACTGAAGCCCACACTATAGCTTCCTTCAATAATCCCCTGCATGCTTGAGCAATCTTGAAAGGAAAAAGAATGAAAGAAAGAAAGATACCTCAGTGGTTTGGAGCGCAAAACAGAAAAAGTGATTTGACTGTTTGTTTTGAGATTATGTAATAAAATTATAACATGTGAAGTTTCGTTTTTAAAACTCAGCATCAAGTTAATGACCTATTTAGAAAAGTTATCTAATAAAATACTCCCGCTATCCCACTTTATATGACAATTTCAGACAAAATTATGCATACTAACAAAACTTATTAAATATACTTCACAACTTTTTAAAAAAATAAAATAAAATTTTAAAATACCCTTTATTTAATAACTTTATAGAAGGAGATAGAGAATATAATAAGGAAGGAAGGGTAATATTGAAAAATTATATTTAATTAAAACTTATTGTTGTCAAACTCTCTTATATATTAGGACACTGAATTACTTCCAAAATTGTCTTATAAATTAGGATGGGGGGAGTAGATAAGGAGCCGTGCATTATTTCCAATTTATAATCTGAGGAACTCATTCCTCATATCCTGTGCACCATACGGAGTTATGTGTCAAGTTGCTTCATGTCAAAAGGTTCCAAAATGAAAGTGGCCATGCAGACCTGGAAATGCTTTTTCTGAGAAATATGGATTGTTATCTAAGCTCTATCAGACTCTACTAGTCAAAAAGTTGATATCTAACTTCTCTTAATCTTTAGTTGATCAAAGGTGAAGACAGTTACTTTCTAGATGGTAATTATTTGCCAGAGAAAGAACAGCTATATCTCCTGCTATAATATTGACCTTTGGCTTGGTTAAATCCCAGGCAGCACATGAAATATAAAGCGATAAGACTTCAAAGTCCAACAGACATCTAAGATAAGCCAGTTAACATAAAAGGCAAAAGATATTCTTAAATAGTGATTTGGGAAATGTATAGGTTTTAACTCACCAGAATAAGAGCCCATCCAGAGGGCATGAAGGCAAGGATTGCAGCAAATAGATCAGTCATGGTAAGCCCACAGACAACGAATAATACAGTCATTACTGACATGAAGCCAAGAAAGAGAAGCGCCTTAAGAACACGGAACATGAGCTGAAAGTCAGTGCCAAATCTTTGTCTGCCCATGGACACCATCTGACAGCCGCATGAGATTTTTGCAAATAACAGCAGAGCAAATACAAATATGTATTAGAAACGTAAGAGAACCTCCAAATGCAAAATGGTAGTCTAAATGCTTCTCTAACTTGTCAGGAAGTTACGACTATACATCTTAAATTTGAATTATGAGGAAAATCGTTTCCAAAATCAGTTTGGTTCTTCAATCATATTTTACACACTTCACTACATAAAATTTCAGTTTTACATCAAATCAATCCTTCCTTGATTCTATTGGATCAAATTTAACATTTCCAGATACAACCCTGGCAATATTTATGATCTCTTTGTTGAAGCATAATCTACAACTATAATTGGATATCACAAATGGATAGACATAGAATAACACAACAGAATCATA